TGGAGGTGATAACAGATCTACAGCGGCAGAACGAGGTTATGCGGCAGCAGATCGCGGAACTCACACGGCGCCTGGTAGTGCGAGATTTGGAGGATCATGAGGAGTCAGATCACGGATCCCGATCATCGTTCGAGAACCCGTATCATCGCGAACCTCACGGTCGTGATTTTCGCGTCCGTGATGACTATCGCGGAGGGCTAGGGTTTAAGGTGGAAATCCCTAGTTTTACAAGAACCCTGCAGGCCGATGATTTCATTGACTGGCTGAACGTGGTGGATCGGATCTTTGAGTATAAGAACGTTCCTGGTCGTGACAAAGTGAAGCTCGTGGCTATCAAACTCCATGGATGAGCCTCTGCATGGTGGGAACAGATGCGGCGATCTCATGAGAAGAAGGGCAAACCGAAGATCAATGATTGGGAGAAGATGAAGGGTAAGATGAGGGCACACTTTCTTCCCTTCGGATACACACAAACCCTATTTCAACGACTCCATACGTTGAGGCAGGGAACAAGGTCCGTTGATGATTACACCGAAGAATTCTACCAGTTGATTGCCCGCACCGATCTGTCTAAATCGGAGGAGCAGCTTGTGGCTCGATATATGGCAGGCTTGCGTTAATCGTTGCAGGATGTTCTCAACCTCCATTCATTATGGACTGTTTCTGAGGCATAGAAAAGGGCCCTTGCAGTTGAGAAGCAGCAGAACAGGAAGCCGGTGACCAACAACCGTCCGACTCGACCCCAAGAGCCTCGACCGACCACACAGGGAGTCCAAGGGACGCATGGAGCTTCTAGTAGTACGATTAAGTGCTATCGATGTGGTGAACCAGGACATAGGGCAAATGAGTGTAAAAAGCCGGCCGTGTAGAAGGGCAAGAGCCTGTTCATTGAGGAAAACATGACAGATGAAACTAAAGAAACTGAGGGGTATGGTGAACCTACCTATGACGACTATGCAGAAGATGATGTGCTTTACGGAGACGGACATGAGAATCTTGTTGTGCGTAAGAGCCTGCTAGCTCCAAAGGATGACTCTAAGGATGATTGGTTAAGGAACAACATCTTCAGTACAACCTGCACCATTGGAGGTAAGGTCTGCAAGATGATAATAGACGGAGGCAGTTGTGACGTTGTAAGGAAGTTGCAGTTGAAAACTGAGCATCATCCTAAGCCCTATACGTTGTCATGGCTGAATAAAGGTTCTGAGGTAACTGTTGATAAGATATGCCTTATTTCCTTTTCAATTGGTAATAAGTATTATGATAGCCACTGGTGTGATGTTGTGAAGATGGATGCATGTCACGTTCTATTAGGGAGACCTTGGCAGTATGATCGTAATGTCATTCATGATGGTCGGAAGAACACATATTCTTTTGTAATGAAAGGAAAGAAAATTGTGTTAGCTCCACGACGAGAGGGAACCCCTCCTACTCCAAGTGTTATTCCCACTAATTTGTTGTCTAGGTCCAAATTGCTAGATGAGATTGCGCATGAAAGGGTAGTATATGCATTGCTACCCTACGTTAACAATGCTGGTGACGAAGAGTGTGACTTTCCTGTTGAGGTGCAACAACTGTTGGCGGAGTTCTCATACTTGATGCCGGAGGACCTTCCTCCTGGTTTACCACCGTTGAGGGACATCCAGCACCAAATTGATTTCGTCCCAGGTTGTACCCTTCCGAACAGACCAGCATACCGTCTCAGCCCCAAGGAGGCAGAAGAGCTGTAGCGACAGGTTGTGGACTTACTTGAAAGGGGCTATATCGGGGAAAGTATGAGCCCATGCGCAGTTCCTGCCTTGTTGGTACCAAAGAAGGATGGGTCTTGGCGCATGTTTGTTGATAGCCGAGCGATCAACCGAATTACAGTGAAGTACCGATTTCCCATTCCCCGACTTGATGACATGCTAAATCAGTTATCGGGTTCTAAGATTTTTTCCAAGATCGATCTTAAGAGTGGGTACCACCAAGTGCGGATCAAGCCCGGAGATGAGTGGAAAACAGCATTTAAGACGCAGCAGGGATTATATGAGTGGTTGGTAATGCCTTTTGGGCTGTCCAACGCACCGAGCACATTCATGCGTTTTATGCATCAAGTCTTGAGACCTTTTATGGGGAAGTTCGTGGTTGTCTACTTCGACGATATCCTTATTTACAGTCCTACTTGGACTGCCCATTTTGAGCACCTACGTGTTGTGTTTGAAGTGCTAAAAACAGAGAGTTTGTTCATCAACAAGAAGAAGTGCTTCTTTTTCACTACTTCAGTGCAGTTTCTTGGTTTTGTGGTGTCCACTGACGGAGTGCATGCAGATCCCTCAAAGATTGAGGCAATTAGTAGCTGGCCTAGGCCAAGGTCACTACACGACATTCGTAGTTTCCATGGTCTAGCATCCTTCTATCGCAGATTCATCAAGAATTTCAGCAGCCTAATTGCACCCATCACCGAGTGTCTCAAGGGTCGAGAATTCCAGTGGACTGAGGAAGCGGAGTGTAGCTTTGAGAAAGTGAAACAAAAGATGACTCAAGCACCAGTCTTAGCACTTCCAGATTTTGACAAAGTGTTTGAGGTCAACTGTGATGCATCCGGCATTGGCATTGGAGGGGTGCTGAGCCAGACGGGGCGTCCGGTTGCGTTTTTCAGTGAGAAACTTTCGGGTGCCCAGAAGAACTATTCCACGTATGATCTGGAGTTCTACGCCATTGTTCAGTCACTAAAACATTGGCGCCATTATTTAATACAGAAGGAGTTCATTTTGTTTACTGATCACGAGGCTTTAAAGTATATCATACCCGTCGTGTTGAACTTATCTGCTGTACGGTTTACCCACCGTATGAACGTCCTCAAGTGGAAACGAGACTTCGTGGTTCGCCCGTCGCACTTAGCACAACGGCTACGGAACTCAGGGCGCAGTCTGCTTCTCACCTCCATGAGCAATCGAGTTACAGGATTTGATGTGTTCGCAGACATGTATAAGGATGATCCTTCGTTTGGAAAAATATTTATAGAGGTAATTTCTGGTCAGCGATGTGATCGATTTTATTGTGCACAATGGTTATCTATTTCGAGGGCAGCAGCTGTGCATTCCAGATTGTTCCTTGCGGCAGCAGATTATCAGTGAGCTCCACAATGAAGGGCATTTTGGTTGAGACAAGACTCTTGTTCTTGTGTCGGCTGACTTTTATTGGCCAAAATTGAGAAGTGATGTGACCCATTTTGTGGATCGTTGTTTTGTGTGCCAGCGTTCAAAGGGAGTTCTTACTCACGCAGGTCTTTACACCCCATTACCTGTTCCTGAAGCTCCTTGGTTTGATGTTAGCATGGATTTTGTGATTGGTTTACCTCGCACCCAAAGGGTAGCAGATTCTGTCTTTGTAGTTGTTGACAGGTTTTCCAAGATGGCGCATTTTATACCTTGTAGGAAGACCATGGACGCTGCGCAGATTGCTCATCTTTACTTTAAGGAGATTGTACGGTTGCATGGAGTTCCACGATCCATCACTTCAGATCGTGACACGAAGTTCATGAGCCAGTGAAAAGTTGGGCACTCGTTTAAACTTCAGTAGTGCCTATCACCCCCAAACGGATGGTCAGACGAAGGTGGTGAACCGCAGTTTGGATAACCTCCTTCGTTGCTTGGCTGGAAATAAAGCGAAGCAGTGGGACTTAGCTCTTCCTCAAGCAGAATTTGCCTACAACAGGTCGACGAGCAGGACCACTGGCATGAGTCCATTTCAGGTTGTCTATGGTTGGAACTCGACAGGGGTCCTAGACTTGGCCCCTATTCCACGTGTGGGGCGTTTTCATCCTAGAGCCAAGGAGATGGCAGAGCATCTGAAGGAAATTCATGAGCAAGTGCGGAGTAAGATTGAGGAGAGCAACAACAGGTACAAGGCCGAGGTGGACAAACATCGTCGTAAAGTTCTTTTTTATGTCGGAGATTTTGTTTGGGCTGTATTAACTAAAGATCGCTTCCCTGTTGGCGAGTATGATAAACTCAAGGATCGAAAAATTGGACCCTGCGAGATAGTTCAGAAGATCAATGATAATGCTTACCGATTGCGGCTACCCAGTCACTTGAAAACGTCTGATGTTTTCAATGTGAAGCACCTAACTCCTTGTTTCTTGGATTCTAAGGAAGATGATATGAACTCGAGGGCGAGTTCTTTCCAACCCGGGGTGACTGATACAGGAGAGAATTAAGGCCTTCATTTTTTAATTTTTGTGTCTTTGGGCCTTTGGCCTTTTTTTAGTTAGCCCATTTATTTTTATTCTTAGGCCCGTTTTGTCTTCCATCTTTTAGGGTTTCAGTCCCTTTGTTTTTTTCCAGCTATTTATAGCCCGGCTTGTGGGCATAATTTAGGCAGACTATCATTATTTGAGGATTTTTCCTATACCTAGAGCGGAATTCTTCCCATAGCGTTTCAATCTTTCCCTTTCTTTCGTTGTTCTTCTCGTTCTAGCCATACGCCTTGATTTAATTCGGCGTCAGTACCCCTAGAGCTTGAGGCCAAAAGTAAAAAAAGTTACTCCCTCCGTCCTAATTCTTTTTTCCCAGTTTGACTTTTCCCCATTTTTAATTTTTGGCTTTGACTTCAAATTTTACCTCCTTAAAAAAGATTTTTTGAAATTTTTTTTGCAATCATTCAAAATATAGAGTTAGAAGATAATTGGTGTAAATACATGAGGGTATTAATGTTATTTGTCATCTTTTTTTTCTAATGGGAAGGTAGTTTTAGGACGGAGAAAAAGGGGAAGTATGAAGAAAGTTTTAGGACAGAGGGAGTATAATTTATACATTATTGACAAGTCTTTTTTAAATGAAACTTTTACAAAGGATTTTACATGTAAATAAAAATATCCATGTAAAATTTGGGAAAATTTTTGATGAATTTAAAATTTGGCCAAAGAATATGGAAAATTTTTTGATGAATTTAAAATATCCATAGAGCTTGAGGCCAAAACTAAAAAAATTATAATGTAGACATTAGTGACAAGTCTTTTTGACATGAAACTTTTACAGAGGATTTTACATGTAAAAGTTGTAAAAAATTATAATGTAGACATTACTTGTAGACATTACTTATATGTATAAATTATAATTTTTTTTAGTTTTGGCCTCAAGCTCTATTTATACATTATTGACAAGTCTTTTTTACATGAAATTTTTACAAAGGATTTCACATGCAAATAGAAATATCCATGTAGAATTTGGGAATTTTTTTGATAAATTTAAAATTTGGCCAAAAAATGTGATGGAACCCCTAGAGCTTAAGGCCAAAACTAAAAAATTATAATGTAGACATTACTCACAAGTCTTTTTGACATAAAACTTTTACAAAGGATTTTACATCCAAATATAAGTATCCATATCAAATTTGGCAAGTTTTTTGATAAATTTAAAATTTGGCAAAAAAAAATGTGATGGTACCCCTAGAACTCGAGGCCAAAACTAAAAAAATTATAATCTAGAGATTACTGACAAGTCTTTTTGACTTGAAACTTTTAGAAAGGATTTTACTTGCAAATATAAATATCTATGTCAAATTTGGAAAATTTTTTGATAAATTTAAAATTTGGCCAAAATATGTGATAATACCCCTAGAGCTCGAGGCTAAACCTAAAAAAAAATAATTTATACATTACTGACAAGTCTTTTTGACATCAAACTTTTACAAAGGATTTTACATGCAAATAGAAATATCCATGTCAAATTTGGGAAATTTTTTGATGAATTTAAAATATGGCCAAAAAGTATGTGATGGTACCCCTAGAGCTTGAGGCCAAAACTAAAAAAAATATAATGTACACATTACTCACAAGTCTTTTTGACATGAAACTTTTACAGAGAAGTTTACATCCAAATATAAGTATCCATGTCAAATTTTGCAAGTTTTTTGATAAATTTAAAATTTGGCCAAAAAATGTGATGGTACCCCTAGAGCTCGAGGCCAAAACTAAAACAATTATAATCTAGAGATTATGACAATTCTTTTTGACTTGAAACTTTTAGAAAGGATTTTACTTGCAAATATAAATATCTATGTCAAATTTGGCAAATTTTTGATGATTTTAAAATTTTGCCAAAAAAATGTGATAATACCCCTAGAGCTTAAGGCCAAAACTAAAAAATTATAATTTAGTCATTACTGACAAGTCTTTTTTACATGAAACTTTTACAAAGGATTTTAGATGCAAATAGAAATATCCATGTAGAATTTGGGAAATTTTTTGATAAATTTAAAATTTGGCCAAAAAATGTGATAATACCCCTAGAGCTCGAGGCTAAAACTAAAAAAATTATAATTTATAGATTACTGACAAGTCTTTTGGACATGAAACTTTTACAAAGGATTTTACATGCAAATAGAAATATTCATGTCAAATTTGGGAAATTTTCTGATTAATTTAAAATTTAGCCAAAAAAATGTGATGGTAGCCCTAGAGCTTGAGGCCAAAAGTAAAAAAAAATTATAATTTATACATTATTGACACGTCTTTTTTAATGAAACTTTTACAAAGGATTTTACATGCAAATAGAAATATCCATGTAGAATTTCGGAAATTTTTTGATGAATTTAAAATTTGGCCAAAAAATGTGATGGTACCCCTAGAGCTTGAGGCCAAAAACTAAAAAAATTATAATGTAGACATTATTGACAAATCTTTTTGACATGAAACTTTTACAGAGGATTTTACATCCAAATATAAGTATCCCTGTTAAATTTGGCAAGCTTTTTGATAAATTTAAAATTTGGCTAAAAAATGTGATGGTACCCCTAGAGCTTGAGGCCAAAACTAAAAAAATTATAATTTATACATTATTGACAAGTCGTTTTTACATGAAACTTTTACAAAGGATTTTACATACAAATAGAAATATCAATGTAGAATTTGGGAAATTTTTTGATAAATTTAAAATTTGGCCAAAAAATGTGATGGTACCCCTAGAGCTCGAGTCCAAAACTAAAAAAATTATAATTTATACATTACTGACAAGACTTTTTGACAACAAAGTTTTGCAAAGAATTTTACATGCAAATAGAAATATTCATTTCAAATTTGAGAAATTTTGGTATGTTTGGGAACATGGATTTGGATTTCAAATCCGGATTTGACTTAAATTCCATGTTTGGAAAACTTAAGCATTTTGAATTTGGATTTGAATCAAATTCTTTACATTCAAAACCAAGCTTAATTTGAAAATCATGCACCTCCCCTTGTCATTTGAAATTCAGGATTTCAAATTTTGGATTTGAAATGCATGAATTGAAATGAAATGCTAGTTGCCAAACACTACCTTAATGAATTTAAAATTTGGCCAAAAAAATGTGATAATACCCCTAGACCTCGAGGCCAAAACTAAAAACATTATAATTTAGACATTACTGACAAGTATTTTTTATATGAAAGTTTTAGAAAGGAAGTTACATGAAAATATAAATATCCATGTCAAATTTGGGAAATTTTTTGATAAACTTAAAATTTGGCCAAAAAAATGTGATGGTACCCCCAGAGCTCGAGGTCAAAACTAAAAAAATTAAAATCTATAAATTACTAACAAGTCTTTTTGACAGAAACTTTTAGAAAGGATTTTACTTGCAAATATAAATATCCATGTCAAATTTGGCAAATTTTTTGATAAATTTAAAACTTGGCCAAAAAATGTGATCATACCTTTAGAGCTCGAGGCTAAAACTAAAAAAAATATAATTTATACATTACTGACAAGTCTTTTTGACATCAAACTTTTACAAAGGACTTTACATGCAAATAGAAATATCCATGTCAAATTTGGAAATTTTTTGATAAATTTAAAATTTTGCCAAAAAATGTGATGGTACCCCTAGAGCTCGAGGCCAAAACTAAAAGATTTATAATTTATACATTACTGACAAGTCTTTTTTACAAAGAATTTTACATTCAAATAGAAATATCCATGTCAAATTTGGGAAATTTTTTGATGAATTTAAAATTTGGCTAGGAAATGTGATAGTACCACTAGAGCTCGAGGCAAAACTAAAAAAATTATAATTTAGACATTACTGACAAATATTTTTTATATGAAAGTTTTAGAAAGGAATTTACATGAAAATATAATTATCCATGTCAAATTTAGGAAATTTTTTGATGAATTTAAAATTTGGCAAAAAAAATGTGATGGTACCCCTAAAGCTCGAAGCGAAAACTAAAAAAATTAAAATGTCGACATTATTAACAACTCTTTTTGACATGAAACTTTTACAAAGAATTTTACTTCCAAATATAAGTATCCATGTCATATTAGGTATGTTTTTTGATAAATTTAAAACTTGGCCAAAAAATGTGATTTTATCCTTAGAGCTCGAGGCCAAAACTAAAAAAATTATAATTTAGACATTACAGAAAAATATTTTTGAAATGAAAGTTTTAGAAAGAAATTTACATGAAAATTAAAATATCCATGTCAAATTAAGAAAATTTTTTATTGAATTTAAGATTTGGCCAAAAATGTGATGGTACCCTAGAGCTTAAGGCCAAAATTAAAAATAATTATAATTTATAAATTATTAAGAAGTCTTTTTTTTATATTAAACTTTTACAAAGGATTTTACATGCAAATAGAAATATCCATGTAGAATTTGGGAAATTTTTTGATAAATTTAAAATTTGGCCAAAAATGTGATAGTACCAATAGAGCTCGAGGCCAAAACTAAAAAAATTATAATTTATACATTACTGACAAGTCTTTTTTACAACAAAATTTTACAAAGAATTTTACATGCAAATAGAAATATCCATGTCAAATTTGACAAATTTTTTGATGAATTTAAAATTTAGCCAAGAAATGTGATGGTATCCCTAGAGCTCGAGGCCAAAACTAAAAAAATTATATTTTAGACATTACAGACAAGTATTTTTATATGAAAAATTTAGAAAGGAATTTACATGAAAATATAAATATCCATTTCAAATTTGGAAAATTTTTTGATAAATTTAAAATTTACCCAAAAAATGTGATGGTACCCCTAGAGCTCGAACTAAACTAAAAAAATTATAATTTATACATTACTGACAAGTCTTTTTGACATGAATTTAAAATTTGGCCAAAAAAATGTGATAGTACCCCTAGAGCTCAAGGCCAAAACTAAAAAAATTATAAAGTCGACATTACTGACAAGTCTTTTTGACATGAAACTTTTACAGAGGATTTTACATCCAAATATAAGTATCCATGTCAAATTTGGCATGTTTTTTGATAAATTTAAAATTTGGCCAAAAAATGTGATGGTATCCTAGAGCTCGAGGCCAAAACTAAAAAAATTATAATTTAGACATTACTGACAAGTCTTTTTGACATGAAACTTTTAGAAAGCATTTAGTTGCAAATATATATATCCATGTCAAATTTGGCAAATTTTTTGATGAATTTAAAATTTGGCCAAAAATGTGATAATAGCCCTAGAGCTCGAGACTAAGACTAAAAAAATATAATTTATACATTACTAACAAATATTTTTGACATCAAACTTTTACAAAGGATTTTACATGCAAATAGAAATATCCATGTCAAATTTGAGAAATTTTTTATGAATTTAAAATTCGGCCAAAAAAATGTGATGGTACCCCTAGAACTCGAGGCTAAAACTAAAAAAAATTATAATTTAGACATTAATGACAAGACTTTTTGATGAAACTTTTACAAAAAGATTTTACATGCAAATAGAAATATCCATGTCAAATTTGGAAAATTTTTTGATGACTTAAAGATTTGGCCAAAAATGTGATGGTACTCGTAGAGCTCGAGGCCAAACACACACACACACACATAAAAGAACTCTTCCCACGATTTGGAAAGAGCTCTCAGATTTGACCAGATCTAGAAGTGTACAAAGACAAGAATTGACAAAATCATATCTGCGGGGAAATCAACAAGTGCTAAAATAGATTTGCGATGACAGAAGGTTGCGATGGCGGTGGGGTTGCCTTCAACGAGAAGTCCCAGAACAGATCTGGGAGGAGGGCTTGCGGGTTGTGTTCAATGACTGTCTTCAACGAGAAGACTTGGAATAGATCTATGACAGCGTAAGGTCTACAACAGTGGGGGTAGGGGAGGGGCGGTGACAAGAACATCGGCAGTGGTGCCGAAGAACGGTCGGTCGGTGAACAGCCGCCAGTGTTGGCAACACTGGTAGATGGCTTATGAGGGTGGAGAGGGCTAATAGGTTGAGGGGTATAAGGGGAAAGTCAATACAATTTTTATCACATAAATTTGCGTGTCGGGTCAAATCGGAAAGTTTTTTTTTTGGACGAATGAAGTATAATTTAAACATTACTGACAAGTCTTTTTGACATGAAACTTTTAGAAATGATTTTACATGCAAGAATAAATATCCATGTCAAATTTGGCTTGGCAAGTTTTTAGATAAATTTAAAATTTGGCCAAAAATTGTAATAATATCCCTAAAGCTCGAGGCTAAAACTAAAAAATTTTAATTTATACATTACTGACAAGTGTTTTTGACCTGAAACTTTTACAAAGGATTTTACATGCAAATAAAAATATCCATGTAGAATTTGGGAAATTTTTTGATGAAACTAAAATAATAATAATTTAGAGGTTGAGGCCAAAACTAAAAAAATAATCATTTAGACATTATTGACAAGTCTAAAACTTAGCCTGGCAACGATTCCAACTTGCTCCTTCAAAGGTGTTTCCTTATTCCAATGTTTCATCTGTTTTATCATCTCATGTGCCTTTTATTGCCATACACCCCCTATTGGACGTTGTTTCCTTTCTTCTACCACTTCAAAATAATAAAAGTGATATTCTATTGATTACAGTGATTTAAAGTGATTCAAGTATCCTCTTTTGATTCTATTTCATTGTTGAAAAATTCTATTACCCAGATTAATATGGACAACAATTGGCAATCAAAGTCATTCCCTTTTGTGATTAATGCGAGAATGATATATTTCTGTTACTACAACCATTTTAACTTCTTCATCATGTTTGGCATTTTTTTTCAATTCTCCATCCTTTGTATTTTTTGTATTTTTTTAACGGAGAAATCATGACCCTACTCCAAATAAATTTAAACATAATGAGATGCTACAAGGAAAGCACTTTTTTCAATATATATATATATATATATATATATATATATATATATATATATATATATATATATATATTGAATGACTTGATATTCGTATTTAGATTTTCTGTATGTGGGTGCGAACTGCTAACTGCATCAGGGAATCAGCCAGGGAAGTGTTAGGTGTGAGCTCTGGCTCTGGGAGTAGGCGTCGAGGTGATTGGTGGTGAAGCGATTCAGTCCGAAGTAAGGTGGAAGCTAAGAAGGTGGCGTATTTGAGGTACATGGGCTGCAATGTTGAGGAGGAAAGAGCGGCGTTGCGAGTGGAGTACAAGAAAGCGCGTAAAGAAGCTAAGTTAGAGGTAACGAGGGCAAAGAATGCCGCTTTTGAACGCCTCTACAAGGATATTGAGGAGAAAGGCAGTGGATTGTGTTAATCCACTGTTCCGGCTTGCTAAGGTGCGCGAGAGGAAGGCCCGTGATCTAGACCACGTGAGATGCGTGAAGGACAGCGATGGTAGAGTGTTAGTTGAGACTGCCAAGGTGGCTAAGCGCTGGGGGAGTACTTTAGTGAACTCTTAAATGCGGGAGGAGACCAGAGGCTAGTTCTTGATGAGTTGGGACATCCTGGGGCATCTCGTGTGTATTGCCGGCGCATTTGCTTGGAAGAGGTGGTTCGGGCTCTCCGCGTGATGCATAATGGGAGAGCTGTGGGACCAGATGAGATTCCAGTGGAGTTTTGGAAGCATGCGGGTCGTGATGCGTGGGTTTGGTTAACCAAACACTTCAATGTTATCCTCCGGACAGCATGGATGCCTGATGAGTGGAGGGAGAGTCTCTTGGTCCCTCTGTTTAAAGGCAAAGGTGACATTCAGAGCTGCGAGAATTACAGAGGCATCAAACTGCTTAGCCACACCATGAAGGTTTGGGAGCGAGTTATTGAGTATAGGGTGCGGAAAGAGGTTTGCATCTCGGAGAACCAGTTTGGTTTCATGCCTGGCAGATCGACTACAGAGGCCATTCATCT